ATCGGTTTATTTTTCTCTCCACTCTTTATTACAACCAGAACTTTCCCAACGTATAACAAATCACGGATCTAACTTCCTTAAATTATGCAAATCAATCGATTCCTTTTATTGGTTCAATTTGTCTTAGGAAACAAATAACAGATTTTCAGGAAACAAATAATACATTTTAATCTAACTTCCTTAAATTATGCAAATCAATCGATTCCTTTTATTGGTTCAATTTGTCTTAGGAAACAAATAACATATTTTCAGGAAACAAATAACATATTTTCAGGAAACAAATAATATATTTTAATCTAACTTTTCTAACTTATCTAAATCAGTCGATTTCTCTAATTAGTGAAATTTGTTTTAGAAAACAAATAACAGACACGTCACAACTTTCCTCCCAATAAATAGTTTCTTAACATTTGCAAACTTTCCTAATCAGACACGTCACAAACAGGCAGGTACTGATATCACGTTACCAAACAATAAAACCCCATTTGCATAGAAATCAGTTCAAAAATCCTAACTTTCTTAAATTTTACCTTTCCTTGATAACAACCAATATTTCCTATGTTTTCCACCTATTGAAGGAAATCACCCCTCCATCGATATTAGCATTTTTTGAACTGAGATCTCCAGGTTATGATTTTTTTTGCGATTCTTTCCAATTGTGACCTCTCCTTCCACTTCGGCTCCTTCTCGCATAAACACCTCCACCACAGCCAGGTGACATCGCCCCAGACCTCCTGCCTCTCCACACCTTCTCCGCCACCTCCTTCTCGTACTCCATTAACAATCCCTCCGCCACATTTGTCCACGGCGGTGTCGAGGGCATGGCGCAATAGCGTACCAGCGATAGAGCAGCGCATAGCAGCAGGAAGCAACACGCAGAAGGCGAGGCGATCGGCCGACGGTGGAGGGCAGAGATGCGGCCGGCGTGGCTGAGGGGGCGGCCGGCAGAAGATGGCCACGACTAGAGGCGGCGCGAGGCAGGGGCGCGACAGCGTGGCGAGCAAAGGGATAGGCGGCAGCAGACGGGGCGAGCGTAGCCAGCGAGAGTGTGGCGCGCGAGCAGGGTGTGTGTCGCGCGGGGCACAGTGGTGCGGTGGCTGCGGCAAGCGCGAAGGCAGTGACGGGCGCGACCGACGCGGTGTAGCACGGGCGTGGGCATGAAGAGGGAGTGGCCCCGCGGGCGCGGAAGAAGAGCGACAGACTCTGGCGTGGACGTGCATAGGAGCGGGCATGTGCCACGGGGTCAATCCGAGGAGCTCGGTGGCTACCCCTGCAATGGCCATGGCGGACGATGGTTCTCAGCCACGGCGAAATACCTAACGAGAGGAAACGAGAGGGGAAACAGGGAAAAGGCAAAAGGAGATCATGACGGTGTCAATGGCGCCCTAGGGGAAGACATGGGAGCTCGGGGCGGCGCGGATCGAACGGCAATGTCGTGGTGGCCCAAGGTTGAGGAAGACGGCAACGACGTCGATGCGGGGGTGCTGGACTTGATCTCGTTGGCGCAGATGAAGTAGCGAAGGCGTTCGGAGCTCCTCGACAAGCTCCTAGCCCGCAGGGAGGGCAGTGGCCATGTGGACGGGGTCGGTCATGGTCGCCGTGGCGTCTGACTTCGTCCAGATCGACGGGATCGAGCGAGCGAGGAGGAGAAGTGGATTTGGGAGGGGGCGTCGAGGAGGAGTGAGGCCATGGGGGCAGGGAAGGAAGGGCGTCACCCTTATCCATTCCCCTTCGATGCTAGCGAGGTGGTCGGGAGGGAGCCCGGCTCCGTAGCGACGCGGCTCGGGGAACAGGAGAAGACGACCACGTGGGGACTGGACCGCTGAGCTGGTTCGATGGCAAGGCCGGGGGGCAGGGCAAATCCCCTTTTACATCGTCCTTTTGGTTTTTCAATGTATTCTAATATGTTTCTCCTTTTTAACACCGTTTTCTATTTATTCTTATCAACTAAATGATCTCTACTCCTAATGTCTCAGTTGGTAGTCTCTATTCTGGGTTTATTTTCGTCCCACCTCCCGAGTGAGGGAAAGGGGGAGAGAGAATGAGAAAGAGGGAGGGAGAGGATGTGTGTGTGAGAAATTGATGGTAAAAAAATCATCAATGTCACTTAATATGTATGAAAATATTAAATGTAATATTAACATAATTGATATTAAACTTTTAAAGTTAATGTGGCCCTGTTGCAACGCACGGGCGTTTTTTAGTAACGGTAAGAGGTTACATTGTAATGGGATACCAGACAAAAAACTGGGAACCAAACACCTCCAATAAAAAGCTAAAATCCTGCCGTCCTGGTTTTTGCAAAAGGTCCGCACGAGCTGGATGCCGCACGTTTTTAATCCAACGGATCGCAACGTTTCAGGGCGAGCGAAGCATCTGCGTCGATGACATGTGGGCCCGATTGAAACTGCAACAGATCCGAGATCATGATTGCATGGCTATTAATTAGTTGGTGATTTGCGCGACGAAACCGGTGGGATTTTCGCAGGGAGCGTTTAGTGGGAGGTTGTCGCCGCGATTTCCGCAGGGAGCGTTTAGTGGGAGGTTGCCGTGATTTTTGGGCGAGGTAGCCCATTTTCTTTCTTGCCGTTGTACTGTTTTAACGGTAAACAAATGATGTTAATGACAAGATTCGAACCCAAGTCAGCTATGTGAGACAAAGAGGCACTGACCACTACGCTACCACAACATTTGATGCACATCTAAACTACACATTTTAATTGTACGCTATACAGACAACAATTATCTTTAGATTTGATCTTGATTGCTAAAAACAGAGCGAAGCATCTACCTTAGTCAATTCAGAAATTTAAAGCTATCGTCGAGACTCTGTACCTACACAAATGTTGATCCAAGCAAGATTGTTGAAATATACCCTTAGTAATGGTGATGTAAATCGCATGGTAATTTAATTGACGTAGTCATAACAAACTAGTATAAATACCGAGGTTACTTTGACTTGGGAGATTTTCTATTTTTTATTTTTATGTAATCAGGTGATGATGATGATTCGTAAGAAATAATCTTAGATCAAGGAAAACAATGTTCAATCAATTATGAAAACAATGCTTCAGCATGTACTTGATTTGGGAGGAGTTGAGTAGATTGGGAGTGTCCACGGCCTGTCCTCTCCCGCACCAAAATTTTGAAGAGTGGCTGCACCATCTCACAACATAGCTACTATGCGTAATAGTAACCAAGGTTATTTTGTAGTTATCGAACTAGATGTATTATAGTTACCAACATGGTTACTATGTAGTTATTGGTCTAGATGTAATAAAATTATCAACATGGTTAATTTTTGTAGTTATCAGGCTACATATGGAATAATACACCCTTCAATAACTTATGCATAAATAACATGATAATTTACACACCATAAATCTCATAACTTTGATTCAGGACAAAAAGTTGAAGACATCCCCTACAACTTCCGTGTAAATAGCATGATAATTTACACACCATAAACCTGATAACTCATGCACAAACACGGTGATAACTTCACCCAGGGAGAAAAAGTTGAAGACATCCCCTACGGCTTCTGCGTAAATATCATGATAATTTACACATTATAAACCTGATAACTCATGCACACATAGTGATAACTTTGACCCAAGAGAAAAGTTGAAGACATCCCATACAACTTGTGCGTAAATAGCATTGATATTTTACACATCATAAACCTGATAACTCATGCACAAACACAGACATAACTTTGACCCAGGAGAAAAAGTTGAAGACATCCCCTACAGCTTCTGCGTAAATAGCATGATAATTTACACACCATAAACCTGATAACTCATGCACAAACACAGTGATAACTTTGATACAGGAGAAAAAATTGAAGACACCCCCCTACAGCTTCTGCGTAAATAGCATGATATTTTACACACCATAAACCTGATAACTCATGCGCAAACACGGTGATAACTTTGATCTAGGAGAAAAAGTTGAAGACATCCTCCTACAGGCTACAACTTCTGTGTAAATAGCATGATATTTCACACACCACAAACCTGATAACTCATGCGCAAACAACATGATAACTTTGATCCGGGGAGGAGCTGTTTAAAAACATCACTGATAACTTCCATTTAAATAGTGTGGTACTATAAAGCACCGTATATGTGATAACTTATGCGTAAATATCATGGTAACATTGGTCGGGGGTGGTGGGAGGGGAGGGAGTTGTTTGAAAACATACCCCCCCTGATAACTTCGTACGCACCGTGGACTTGATAACTTATTTACAAACACCGTGATAACTTTGATCGTAGGGAGGAAGTTGTTTGGAAACATACCCTCGATAACTTATGTTGTTTTTGTCCATGAGTTATTAGGTTCGTGGCGTATAAATTACCATGCTTTTTACGAAAAAGTTATTGAGGTGTGTTACAACATTTTTTTCTCTAGGTCAAGTTATCGTGATATTTGTGTGTGAGTTATCAGGTTCGGAGCTTATAAATTACCATGCTCTTTACGGAGAAAGTTATGGAAGTGTGTTACAACAATTTTTTTTCCTGGGGTTAAATTTTCCTTGGTGTTTGTGCCCAAGTTGCCAGGTCTGTGTTGCACATAATTACCAGGTCTATGGTGCAAAAATTATCATGTTATTACACATAAGTTACCGAGGTATGTCAACAACTTTTTTTAGTTAAAGTTACCACAATGTACTTTAGAAAAAAGAATTACCACTATGTTGTATATACTAACAAAGTAGCTGACTATCTAGAAAAACAAAACAAAATATAGTACAAAAGGGGGGAAATCGGTAAAAAAGAAAAGAAAGAAAATGGTTTATTTTTCTCATGGTCGCGACACGTACAGGTATAAATATTATCCTACCTCATTATAGATCGAAATTAAGCAAGGTTAGCTGGTTACACACATCTATGGTGAACCATAGGTAGTGGGTTCGACTCCCACTTCTTACCAGATATGTTGTTTAAAGTCCGACTGATAGGATGTTAGTCGTGTCCATATTTGTATATAATATGAGCTCAGACTTTGTCGCCACCGGCCGCGGAGGCGGGAGTGGGAGTGGGCGCTGCGGGGGCAGCGGCCGCGGTGGCCATGGCGCCGATGGTGTCTTCAAGGGCGCTCTCAAAGACGAAGATCTTTTCCGTGGGCTTCGCGGGAACTAATGCGGTGTAGATCTTCTTGACGGCAGATTCGAGGGCGGGGACGAACTTGTAGTCCTTGTATGCATCGCCCATGGTCTCCTTGATGGCCTTGCTGAAGGCGGAGTCGAAGACGGTGGACTTGTCCTCGGCCGGGGCAGCATCGGCAGCGGTGGCTGCAGTCCTGAAGGCGGTGTCGATCTGGTCAATGGCCTTGAGCTCGCCAGCAGGGCTCGCCCCCTTGACTTCCTCGCGGGCGGGCTTGATGGCGTGGACCTCAAGGATGCCAGCAATGATGCGGAGCGACTCGCCAAAGATGGCCACGAAGGAGTCATACTGGGCCTCCGGGGTAGTGCCCTGGGCGTTCATGGCGGCCGCCACCTGAGCGAAGATGACCCTAGTGCTCATACTGGCGTTGGCGCTGGACGCGTTGGCTAACCCTTCGAGTGTCCAGTTGCCAAAGTTGTTGACGAAGGTGGTCTGGAAATACTTGGGCTTGTCCGCTGGAGGGACTACGGCTGCCGTCGCCACGGCCGCCTTGAAGGCTTTGTTGGCCTGCTCAATTATCTTCTGCTCCTCGGTCGTGGCCTTGGGTTGTGCCCCGGCCGGGGCTTGGCCGGCTTCGGCAGCGTACGAGATGGCTGGCCCGGCCACGAGGGCGACCGCCACGAAGAGCGCCATTGTGCACTGCTGCACTGCCATTGTTGCTGCTTTTGTCTTGCGTTGGTTGGTTTGCACAATACATAGAAGGAGAGATTGTGGTGTGGTGTGAGGATGAAGGAGCTTAGCTCTATATATACATCTGTATGGTGAGAGGCTCGCAGAGATTACCATGCCCAAATTAGCAATCTCCTCCTGTCCTCTCCCTTTTTAGCCAAGCTAATTATACTCATGAGCTCGTCATCCCACAAACCAACAATTAGATCGCTAAATACTAGTTGACCTCGTGGGGTATTACCTTCCCGTCCGAACTAGATAGGAACCTCTCCCCTCTACCAATCCTCCAAATATATCCACCCTTGAATGATGGAAGACCAAACATGATGTTGTGGCCACGTAAATGATGGACCTTTCTTAGGGGTAGATTGTAACAGATCATACTTATATTAGGGTAGTACTTGGTGTTTAAAATTCTTGGACATAACAAATTAGGGGTGGTTATCAATCTCGAACATTGCTTGGCAAGCATTGCAAGCCTAAAAAAATGTAATCTATAAAGCCTTTACCTCCCTCACTTTTAGGAAAGCAAAGTGTCCACCAAGCGAGCCAGTCCATCTTTTTATTATCCTCCTCATCTCGCCACCAAAACTGAGCAATAATGTCATTAATTTCTTTGCAAATTCCTTTAGTTAAATGGAACACAGAGATGGCTAACTAAATTATAGCTTGAGTTGTGGCCTTTAGTAAGATCTCCTTCCCTCCAATGGAGTAATTGCTTCTCAACCAATCCTTTCAACCCTTGTTTATATCTATACAAGCTACTGAATTAGGAAATTTGTGTTAATCATATTGCTATAATAGCTGCATTGTCAGGATAAAATCAGGTCAATAAGAAAGGCACATCTGACCATGCTAGGGAACCACTGCCGGTCATTCCCATGCGTCATTGTCCGTTGGGTTCGCCTAAATGATGCCAGCTGGCCGATGCACAGCCAGCACATTGCAAATGTTCGCTGGTTTGCCTAGGTGAGTTTTTTCTTTCATTTTGTTTTGAACCGAGCCATTTGGATTGAACCGAGCCATTTGAATTGAAGATTAAGTGGTTGAGGGAGATGCTCTTATAGGACTCATCGTCATCCGAAGAGGAAGAAGATGATGAGAACTTTGAAACTGTTCTTGGCATGATTTTCAATGACGATATTAAACGACCGAGGATCATTGTTTGGCAACACACAAATTAACCGTGATAGAGAAGAGGGACATGCCAAGATCACGAGAGACTACTTTGATCCAAATCCAACCTATCTGGAGAAGTACTTTTGCCGGCGCTTTCGGGTGCACACAAGTCTTTTTTTGACCATTGCAAAAGTTGTTGAGAAGTATGATGACTAGTTCAAACTTCAAAGAAATGCATGCGAAAAGATGAGTGCAAGCCCTCGAATGAAGTGCATTGTGGCTGTTCGAGTTTTGGCATATGGTTGTTCGACCAATGCAATTGACGACTATATCCGCATTGGTGAATACACAATCTTGGAGATCATTGATACGCCTCCAACATATCTATAATTTTTGATTGTTCCATGCTATTAAAGTATCAATCTTGGATACTTATTATGTAATTATATGCAATTATATATCATTTTTGAGACTAACCTATTAACCTAGTGCCCAATGCCAGTTGCTATTTTTGCATGTTTTTGGCTTTTCAAAAAATTAGTACCAAACGGAGTCCAAACGCTACGAAAAAAAATCTGGACCAGAAGGGACCCTAGAAGCTTTGGGAGAAGACCTGAAGTGTCACGAGACAACGATAAGCCTGCCAGGTGCACCCCGGGGGAGGGGGTGCCCCAGGCTTGTGGGCCCCTCATGGCGCCTCTTGACCTAATTCCAACGCTAGTAAATTTCCATATATTCCTAATACATCGGTGAGCCACCCAAAAACACTTTTTTCGCCGCCGCAAGTTTCTGTTCCTTTGAGATCCCATCCGGAGGCCTTCTCTGGTACTCTACCCGAGGGAGTCCTGGATTAGGGGGTCTCTGGACAGCCGGACTATCTCCATTGGCCGGACTGTTAGACTATGAAGATAGAAGATTGAAGACTTCGTCTCGTGTCCGGATGGGACTCTACTTGGCGTGGAAGGCAAGCAAGGCAATACGGATATGGACATCTCCTCCTTTGTAACCGACCTTATGTAACCCTAAACCCTCTCCGGTGTCTATATAAACCGAAGGGTTTTAGTCCGTAGGACAACAACCACAACATACAATCATACCATAGGCTAGCTTCTAGGGTTTAGCCTCTCTGATCTCGTGGTAGATCTACTCTTGTACTACCCATATCATCAATATTAATCAAGTAGGACGTAGGATTTTACCTCCATCAGGAGGGCCCAAACCTGGGTAAAACATTGTGCCCCTGCCTCCTGTTACCATCCAGCCTAGACGCATAGTTCGGGACCCCCTACCCGAGATCCGACGGTTTTGACACCGACACTGCCGAAGGGGGAATCAACCATGGAGGGCTTCTACATAATCTTTGCTGCCCTTCCGATGATGCGTGAGTAGTTTACCATAGATCCGCGGGTCCATAGCTAGTAGCTAGATGGCATCTTCTCTCTCTTTGATCTTCAATACAATGTTCTCCTAGATGTTCTTGGAGTTCTATTTGATGTAATCTTGTTTTGAAGTGTTTTTGTTGGGATCTGATGAATTGTGGGTTTATGGTTAGATTATTCATGAATATTATTTGAGCCTTTTTAGAATTCTTATATGCATGATTATTATAGAATTGTATTTCTCTCTGATCTGTAGATTTGGTTTGGCCAACTAGATTGATTTATATTGCAATGGGAAAGATGCTTTGTGATTTGTTCGATCGTGCGGTGCTCAATCCCAGTGACAGAAACATACATGCCATGTTTGTGTATCGTTGCCATTAAGGATAAAATGATGGGGTTTATTCATATTGATTGAGTTTACTTAATCTAGATCGTGTCATCTTGCTTAATACATTACTCCATTCTTTATGAACTTAATACTCTAGATGCATGCTGGATAGCGGTCGATGTGTGGAGTAATAGTAGTAGTGTAGGCATGAGTCGGTCTACTTGCCTCGGACGTGATACCTACATACATGATCATTGCATCGAATATCGTTATAACTACGCACTTTTCTACCAATTGCCCAACATTGTTTACCCACCGTATGCTATGTTTAAGAGAGAAACCTCTAGTGAAAACTATGGCCCCGGGTCTATCTTTATCATATATTGAAATCCAAAAATACTTTGTTGCAATTTATTTATTTTTATTTTGTGTTTATGTTTATCTACCTACCATTATTAGACTTGATCCTTGCAATTAACCGCCAAGGGATTGACAACCCCTTGTTTGCGTTGGTTGCAAGTATTTGTTCTTTTGTGTGTAGGTGTTATTCATGAGGTCTTGTGTGATTCTCCTACTGGATTGATGACCTTGGTTCTTAACTGAGGGAAATATTTATCTCGACTGTACTACATCATCCTTTCCTCTTCAAAAAAATCTCAACGCAGCTCACAAGTAGTAGGAAGAATTTGTGGCGCCGTTGCTGGGGAGACATAACCAAAACTTATCAAGTACCACACACAAACTTTCATCTCCTTACATTTACATTATTTTCCATTTGCCTCTCGATTTCATCTCCCCCACTTCTTAAATGTTTTCACAAAAACACATAAATATTTTCCATTTTCCTTTTTGCTTGTTGCTACTTGTGAGTTGTATTGGGTTTTTCCTCAAAGAGGAGAAGATGATGCAGTACAGTAGAGATAAGTATTTCCCTCAGATATGAAACTAAGGTTATCAATCCAGTAGGAGAATCACACAACAACTCGTTAGCAGCACCTGCACACAAAATAACAAATCCTTGCACCCAACGCGAACAGGGGATATTAAATTCTACGGTGATAGATAGATAAATAGATCGAAAAAATACAAAATAAATTAAATAAGGTTGCAGCAAGGTATTTTTAGGATTTTCAATATATGATAGAAGTAGACCCGGGGGCCATAGTTTTCACTAGAGACTTCTCTCTTGAAAATAGCATACGATGGGTAAACAAATTACTGTTGGGCAATTGATAGAAAAGAAAATAATCATGAAGATATCCAAGGCAATGATCATATATATAGGCATCATGTCCGATACAAGTAGACCAAAATGATTCTGCATCTACTACTATTACTCCACACATCGATTTCTATCCAGCATGCATCTAGAGTATTAAGTTCATAAAGAACAGAGTACCGCCTTAAGCAACATGACATGACATAGACAAGATAAACTCACGCATAAGTAAACCCCATCTTTTTACCCTTAATATCAATGATACATACGTGTCATGTCCCCTTCTATCACTGGGATTGAGCACCGCAAGATCGAACCAATTAGAAAGCACCTCTTCTCATTGCAAGATAAATCAATCTAGTTTGCAAAACCAAATCAATAGACCGGAGAAGAAATAGGAAGCTATAAGAATCATGCATACAAGAGTTTAGATAAAAATCAAATAATATTCATGGATAATCTGATGATAAACTCACAACTCATCGGATCCCAACAAACACATCGCAAGAAAGAATTACATCGGATAGAACTCCAAGAACATCAAGGAGAACATTGTATTGAAAACATCGAGAGAGAAGAAGCCATCTAGCTACTAACTATGGACTCATAGGTTTGTGGTAAACTACTCATGCATCATCAAAAGGGCATCAAGGTTGATGTAGAGCCCCTCCGTGATCAATTGCACCGCCGGAGGCCTCTAGATGGGATCTCACGAGAACAGAAACTTGTGGCGGCGAAAAGTATTTCGAGGTGCTCTTTGATCTGAGGGTAATTTTTGGGTATTTATAGAGGTTGAACTAGGTCAAGACGCTTCACGAGGGCCCCACAAGCCTATGGGGCGACCCCCGGGGCATGCCCCACGAGCTTCTCGCTCCCTCGTAGGTCTTCTGGTATTCCTCGAACCTTCTAGGATTTCTTCTGGTCCAGAAAAAAATAT